AACTTAAAATTTTTTTCTCATTTACGAACTTGTTACACTTTCTTTTCTATATCAGAAACAATTATATAAAAACCAGATGGTAACCCTTTTCACGTGTGATAATTTTGTTTTTGTAAGAGAGAGAAGAGAAGAGAAGGGAAAATAGCTCTTACCCACAGTATAGCCACCATGTCGGAATCACTCAACTGATCCTCCTTAGGCAAGGAAAGCAAAGCACTAAGAAAGTCATTATTACTATTATTCTCATGACTCTCTCTAGTTTTTCTCCCTTCCACTATTTGGCCGACAACAGTATTAACCTTAGCGGCTAATTTATGGCACCTTCTCTTAACACCATGAAAGTCCATAAAACCCAGAGGAAAATAATCCTCCAAATTAAACGTAGAAATCAACTCATAACCTTCTTTGACCATTTGCCCTAACTCACCAAAACGACAACTACTGCTACTGCCAAAAACACTCTCTAATATGTTGGTTAGAGAACCCTCCTGCAACATTCCTCTCAATCCCACCACCCCTTTCTCCTCCATCTGCACCCCCACGCGCGCCAACATTTCGTCAGCCACGCGCTGCCGTAGGCCCTCCAGTCCCGCGACCGACCTCGGGGAAAACATGTGGACGGCCGCGATTCTCCGCAGGTGCCGCCAGTGGAACCCGGCGGGGGCGAATCCGATTGCCCGTTCGAACATCAGCAACCGAGCGGATTCCTTGATCGGGCGGTCGGAAAACGACGATCCGGCGAGGATCTCCTTCGCCGTGTCCGGGTGGCTGCTGATGACCACGCGCGTGGAGCCGAGGCTGAGCGCCATCAGCCGCTTCGCGTCTAGACTGGACGCCAAGTGGGCCAGCTTTCGGTGGGCTAGACGAGAGGCCATTTCGGGTAAGTTCCCCAGCACCGGCCAGCCCATTGGGCCCCGGATGCTGATCAGCTTTTTGTCATGATGGTGGTAGTTTGACCATGCAAAACCTCCCGGGATTAGCCAGTGGTTGAAAGAGAAGAAGAGGAGTGAGAAAAGCGTGGAGAGGGAGAAAGTATTACCGAAAGTCCATGAGGTTTGGTATGATAATATTATGGTTAATCCAAACCAAGTTAGGACTGTTAATAGGGAGATTAAGTTAACAAGATTTAGGTCTGATGGTTTCATTATCACAAGGGAATGAAGTGAACTGGGGAGTTTTTGGGTAGAGGAAATTTTAAAAGCTAGTGGAATTGTCTAAACATGGACATCTGTCGTGAGAAATGGCAAGAAATGGTGATTAGTATATATAGGATTTTGTTGTGGGCAAACTAGTACTGAAGTTGGGTTAAGCAACACGTGGTTAGTTTGCTAACCAGGGTTATTAGCACACGTACGCCCTCGTGTTCTGTTTTCTTATAAATTCTATATTCTATATCTATAGTATATAAAATCAGAAGCGAATCGGGTTAAGCACGTGGTTAGTTTGCTAACCAGGGTTAAACCCACGTACGCGATCTCATGTTATGTTTCTTTCTCTGGTTGGAAAATTTGTTATTTGTGTATGTATTGTACATATAATACAATACGCATGGTATTTCCTACTTCACGATATTGATGGGCTTCAGATTCAGTGTCTATTTTTTGTTTTTGTTTAGGCACGCCGAGCAATCATAATTTTTGTGGTCGTACGATCAACGAGTTGTAGAAAACTAACTTACGTTATGGCACTGCTTATATATGTTGCAAAAGGTAAAATTGATAGAAGTGAAACCGTTCTTTTTTTCAAATCCAACGTTCTTTATACGTCTATTTTTTCTCAAGTAAACCAACCAAAAGGAGCAAAATATATATTTGGATAGAAAAGTGATATATGCATTGCATGCTACAAAAGCAAAAGATTATGCATATCCGAGAGATGCTATATACATATAGCAAAGCAATAAACATCCGCAAATATATTTTATGTAAATTTTCGTCACGTGTACTACTAAACCATATAATACGTTTTGTAGTATATATGTCCATAGCAAGTTTAAATAATACCTCTTAACGTGTGTGTGCGCGGTGTACATTTTTGCACAAATCGCAATGTACGTACGTTTTCCTTTTGCCGTTTCACTTATTTTATTGAAATATTCGTTCTTAGTACTCTGTAGAGAGAGAGAGAGAGAGAGCTCAGTCAATGACCACTAACATATTTCACGGTAGTACTATTCATGCAAACATGGTCGTCCTTATTAGAAAGAAGGTAGGATTAGCGCGCGCGGAGAGAGAGAGAGAGAGAGAGAGA